ATCCATTTTCTTCACCAGTCGGCTGGTGGATCACTGATTTTCGGGAAAGGGAATAGCTAGATCCATTTTGAAATATGCCTCACTACACTACTTTTGATACCCCGTTAATAATCATAATGCCCCTGAAGAGGTGTCCTGTAGTTTTTCCAACTGATGAAATATCCCGACCCTCTTCGGGAAAGTGGAACACATTACAGGGACACCCTCTCACCTGGAAGACCGGAGACCATCTCCTGTTCAAGTCTATTTTACGTGTAATTAACGATGACGCAGTTTCCGGCTTACGTATGCAGCAAATAAAGCCTCTTTAGTAAAAGCTCCCACATCAAACTCTAGCCGCGTTTACACGAACATGGAGATAGACTATCCAGGCGTATTCTTATAATGCAGCCTATTCGTAAACCACTACCGCATCCGCTTGCTCACCGACATGTTGAACATCGTCGCCCGCAACAAACGAGTTGTTGCAAACCACGCGACGAGCGTGGGAGTCCCCATAAAACTAAGGGGATTCGACAATCGCTATCTTAAAACTATTCTCAGAAAGTAATATGGAGTTCTGGTTTCAGGAGAGCTCGACGCTTTAGCGAACGCACCCCATATCGTATGGGATGGAATTGCTCTCCAGATAATTTCTCCGTCCGCTGTCCTACAACCTCCGGCATCTTTCATCCGCCACACTCTTCTAACAGGTGGCTAAGCTGAAAAGAACTGCCGGTATGATCCGCCGAATTCTTTAATGGATTGTTGAACTCCATGTAGACAGTCACGCTGGGCATAATAACAACATCAGGTATGTACAGTCCGGGCAAAGGCATTTACACGGGACCAAAACCTTTATTCATTGCATTGATAGGACCAAACAGTAGTGTGTGATATGGGCAACGCTTCTAAGCCATGTACCTCAAATTCAGAGAAAATACCGCGGTCGGTCCAAATAGGCTCCTCTGTGATGCCACTCAGGCTACCTCGAACTCCTTATTTAGCGCCCGGTCTCACAATAACGGTACTTCCCGAGCTGTCGAGCGTCCTACAAATTAGTAATCGACGCGAGCAGGCGAGTTGTAAGATACGGTTCAGGAAAAGTTGACTGGACGGCATTTCGGACCCCCAAACTTGGATCAAACCGGTCGTGTGTGCAAGTAGTACAGCAATGTGGATAAATCGATCTTCGCGTAGAGCGAATAAGGCGTAGAACACTAAAGCAGTCAAGGCGCGAGCAAGGAGAGCACAGGTCGACGTCCGAACGGGGTTCGCCAATGGGAAAAAGTGCATCAACTACCTCCGACTAAGTACGGGCACGTGGGAGGACTCTATTCAAAGCAGTCTCGTAGGTAGTGCGGAGATGCAAGGACAGAATCGCATCAATGACTGCGTGAGCAAGCGATGTACGAGGATGGGGGCAGGAGACCCAATAAAGTGAGGGACAGCTTTAAGCTTCGTTGTTGGTAGAAAACCAAACCGGAACAATCACCGAACAATACGTGACCAGTGGACGGCACACTAGTGGAAACAGCCAACTTCAAGTATAATGTACCGATTATTGCATACACGCACACATAGGTTCCTAGGGACGAAGCTCTCCTTGGCAAAGGGATGGCTAGCAAACAGCCAAAATAACTATACATTCGGACGATGTCCTGTGAGCGTTCGTCACGCGCTTTTATTTAACACAAGCGTTGTAAAGAGAAATAGCTCCATCAGTGGGCTCACCAGACTACAGACCGTCAGATGTTCTTAAAAAGCCAACCAACTCCATCGCAAGTTTCACTTGCAAACCACCCTTCAGCATAAAAATTTGAAATTCAATCCTCTACATGAATTTTTTTAAGCCATAACAGCAAACTTTCGCGGAGGGCAAGACCTCATCTTCCGGAGCATCTTTTCCGAGTGAATTGATCGCTCCCGCTTGCTAAGTCGCCGACGGATAGCGCGTGTCTTCTTAGGGCGGAGGTCCTTGGGAACGTATCGCTTCTTCCGGTAGGCCTCACGCTGGCGAAGCTTCTGCGCCTGATGCATAACCGTATATACACGAGCGATGGATTTCCGCAGGACGCGTCTGAAAAAAAACAGTGAAATTTGATTATCGTCAATGAAGTACCAGGAAAACGCCGATCAAGCATGATCGACAGTCACAAGTTTTAAACTACGCAATGAATTATCTCGATGAACTGACACGGAGTTAGAACTTATTTCGAGGACATGATATGGGAAAACTACGAAATTAATACTAAGCAGCAGATAGCAAATGGAGATTCGACTGGAAACACTTAACTAGGGATTATGCTTCAGCTCAAAACGTGTCGACTTGCCTATGTATAAACAAATATGAATCACAAGCGTCGCGCGTATATAAGTGAAATAACTTAATGGGTTACGCGGTCTTTTTTTCACTTATCTATTTGAAAACAAAACAAAACGTACATCTTCTTGAGCTTTGAAGCCGCCCCGCGTGTCACTCGAAAGAGACGTAGGTTACATAGCTCGGACTTAAGTTCACCAAGCTGTTTCTGGAGCTCAGGCTCCGGCTTTCCACGGAGTTCGGTGGCCTTTACCTTCGTCTAAAATAGAAAAAGATTGGAATTTACAGCATTCGTTTAGGACATTCCTTGTATTAAAGATGTCCACGTGCTAAAGGGTTCGTAGGACTATAGCAATTAGAAAATCTCCTACCCCCTAAACACACGCTAACAAAGCCCAAAGGAAAAGCCTATTATTTATTTCTGCTAGAACCACTGGACTGGATTTTCGCGTGCCAACAGGCGCCAACTGCAGCAAATACAAGTACACATCTCGAGGAGCATTAACAATTTAGGTATGGTAATTTTGCGTGCGGTTGAACAGAATAGACCTGAGAACACCCGAACAAAATCCACTAGAAACTGATTACCAATGGAACAGACACCGCACAATAATACTACGAAACATACGTTCACCATGCCGAGCAAGAGGTTTTAAAAGTACCGCGCGATTGCCTCAAATGATTTAAACGACATTATATTCACATTAAAATTTCGCCGTTCTACGAAAAATATTATAATTGGTAGCCACTTGATTTTCCATATGTTTTAAGACCTCCAAAGATAAGGAGATAATTTGATTCTCGAACAGTGTGGTATTTTTGTAAAGCTCTGATACTCATTTGTTCTGTTCGAGAACCCACAAAACATTGCGCTAGAGCAAGGAGGCTATCGGGTTATTCAGTCACCAAATTATAAAACCGTTTCGTTCTGTTAATAGAGTGCAAAATCTTAATAGCTGAAACGCTGTTTCTTATCTTATCTAGAGAACTATATTATCCAAGTATCTGCCATATCGTACTGTAAGGAAAACACCGGGAAGAATTAAAATCTAAACGATTTTATCTCTCACCCCAAGTTCCACTATACAGAGTTTAGTAATAATAGTCATGGAGATAGACATATGCTGGAGTTAGGACAATACCCATTTTATAAACTGGATATTTTAATGAAAATGCTTATAAACTACGAAATTGAGTCTAATGGTGCTGAAATCGCATACGTTTGTTGCAATGCTCAGATTCACGTGGAAAGTACCCATGCACCAATGATTGAAATAAAGTAGCCGGAATTGATTTTCATCTAATGTTATGCCTCCTCACACATAAAAAGACCCCTCTATTAGTTATATGGTAGTGCGCCTTGGTCTCTTATTAATTTTGAGACCCACCGCTACACCCTTTCAAGTACGTTATAATCCTGCCACATCCACGGTCTCCAAGCTTGTATTGCGTATTCAAGATGTGGCGTTATGAAGGTACCAAGGATTTTCAAGAACCAGCCTTCATTAAAAACTGTGAATGCCCGCTTGATGGCATAAAACATTGAAGATGCCGCTTTATCCGCCTTAAACACTGTGTTGAAGGCTTGAAGTTGTCTGCCATCCAGATGCTGATATCTTTCTGTATTTCTGCTTCTTCGAGTGAGATTCCGCTAAGGTAGTAAAATCTTGCATTAGGGACCAGATTTCGATTTCCCAGACACAGCAGCGTGTATTTGTTCAGATTGAAGGGAAGGAGCCATTTGCCTTTAATCAGGAATACCATTCTAAGTTTTACAAAAACGTTTAATAGGCATATATTTGCCTGGAAGTCATCTTCATCGACAGCATTCTTGGTGTCGTTTCATACATTTACATCATCGGCAAACATGGCACACTCACAGCCCAAATCCTGTACACAATCATTAACGAACAATAGGAAGATGGTCGGTGCAAATACTGAACCTTGAGGGACCCCGCGCTCGATGACCGTAGACCTTGATCGTTGTCATCCTACGCATGCAGTTTGGGAACGACCAGCGAGGGAATACTCAATCCACGTAAGAAGTTTACTTTCGATACCATTAGTCTAAAATGGTGCAGTCTCAAATGGTGTGGAGCACTGTCGAAGGCTTTCCGGAAATCAATATAGGCCCCATGTACGGTATTTTTTGCAACAGTTACCCTTGTCCAGTTTCGCATAGTGTAAAGCAAACTTGTAACACACGACCTACCCCTACGAAAGCTATATTGCGCATTGCACAAAAGTTTGAGTTACACAATATGTCATCAAATCCTTTTTCCTGATCCTCTCCATTATCTCGCAGACTAGAGTCTGCAATTTTTCACAAGTGCACGACTACCACTTTTGTAAAGTAGTGTAATACAGGCTGTTTCCCAATCTGGGGAAGACTCCAAGTCTCAAACGATTGCTGGCCCATCATGGACAATGGTTTAGCCAGCTCTCTAACAAGCTCACGGAGCATTTTTGTTGGAATCTAATCCGGACCGGGAGATCAACATGCCTTCAAGCTTTTTAGTTCTTGAAAAATCGTTTCATCTCCAAACAGAAGGTCCTCATACTTGGCGTTCCCGCAATCTCGTCGCTAGTTGTGAAGAATGCAGTTTCTGTAGTGAAAACCGACCGAAATAACTCAGAAAATTTTTCGGTTTTATTTTTTTAGCCAGTTACCTCGACTCTTTCATCATTTTTCATAATATGAATCGGGTTCCTGTTATGTGTGCATTTCCTTAAGTAGCTGTATAGCAATTTCGGATTTTTGCCTGCTCGATGACGCAAACCACTCTCAAAGTCCCGTCGGCTTTTGAAGACCACATGTTTACCTTGTTGCGCTGGATTTTGTATTATTTGAAAGCTTCGTTATGGTTTGCTCTGCGAAACGTCTTCCAAAGCCTTCCTTTCGCATTGATCTCCCTTTTAGATCTTTTGGCAGCCACTGAGGTTGGTTAAATATATTGGGCACCGATACTGGTCAGTGACTTTGCATTAGATGCAACAACCGCTCCTTAAATTTATTCCGGTCCTCAGTGACATCGCCGGAGAAAAGAAGACCTATGTCTATTTGCGATGCCTCTGCTCTGATTTAAGAGAAGTCGCCTCGCTATATATTCGGCCTTGGTTTGTATATTACAGGAGGTACAGAATATAGACCATAATCCCACGAAAGTACAGCGTGGTCGCTTCGACTAAGTGGACGTAGGCAGCATATCTCGTCTATACTATCAAGATGCTTGGTTAAGACTATGTCTTAACAGCTAGCCTGTTGTCCTCCGCATGTTATAGTTGAAAAAAGGACGTGTTGTGTGAGAAGAGCCTCAAGTTTTGTTATTAGAAGATGGTGATCAAAGGCATTTTTAGAACAATTCGGCCGCAAATCGTTCCAGCTTATGCTGGGCGCATTGAAGTCACCCATGAGTACAACATTGGACCAACTGCCTATCTCCTTTATGCGCTCAACTTAGCACGCATCTGCATCAGTGTCTGGCCGCGGTGGTCGGTAGACGGTCACGGCTTCCAGAGGCTGCGACCCCCCAACCTTAATTGTCGGACAAGTGGCCTCCATACCATCGGTAATCTTTTCAGTCCTCCCACATACACTTAACTCGCTCTTTACATACATAGCAACTCCTCAACGCTGGCGTTCCATTCTGTCTCGCCTAAATAATTGGTATCCGGATAGTGCTACCTCGGTATCACTGATGCTCTGTGACAGTCATTTTTCTTTTATTGCTATGGTATCAGGGGATACATCGGCTACCTCTATTCGAAGTTCACCGAACTTCGGGAATAGACTCTGAGCGTCGGTGTACAGAAATTTTAGTCGGCAACATTCCGCAGTGACTAGTTCGTTTGGGCTCGCGTCTGCTAATACGAATAGGCCGTAGCCGTCTTAAGTATTGACTGCTTCCAGAGCAATATTGTAGTTTTATGTATTCTTCGTCCCCAGAAGATAGCCAGATTGCTTTCTCCAGCTGCCAATCTCCCGTTCAGTTGCGCAACCAATTCTCTGCGTTTCAGATACTCCGCTT